AAAATCAACTTTGTTTCTTTTGTTGCTAGCCACGTTAAGATGAACTTAAATAGCATTACGGTGGCGGCGATCCATGTCATTTCGATAAGTGCTAGGCTTGTAATCCCCCCCGTTTGGGGCCGTGCCAATTAATGACCCGTCATTATCCCAGCCGATGACGTCAGCATCCCCCCATCTTTAAATCTGCTCCTCCTTTCCAACAGCGACGACCAGATAATTTCTTAAACAAATTAAAAAATACCTCCTTCCGTTCCTTACCTACTTCGCCCAAACGTAATCATCTTTCCGTTCAAAATCATTGAGCAAACCCCCACGTCAATTAATCACCAGTTTTAAAATAAAAATAAAAAATTAGCACGAACTCTTAAGGATTAATATCACGAAAAATCACAAACTGATATATTTATGATAAATTTATCCTAAATTAATTTTTTGACCATAAAAAATCTCATACTGATTTACCTATTTTTTTCCTTTTTTTTATTTCTTTTTTTCTTCTTTTCCTTCCTTGGCCCTTGCCGGCGAGGGCGAGGGCTAGGGCTGGACCCTCACGGCCTGGGCGAGGGCCGTCCTTGCGGCCTGGGCAAGGGTTGTTCGCCCAGGCCACGAGCCGCCCTTGCCGGATCCTGGCAAGGGTCCGGCGAGGGCGACCCTCGCTAGATCCGGCAAGGGCGGCCCTCGCTCTCGCTGGCCACCGGCCACATGCTAGGAAAGAAGAAGAAAAAAAAAGAAAATTTCTTTTCCATTTTTAATTCTTGTGCCCAGAATCAAGAATCAACTTTTTTTTTATTATTGATTCTATTCCAAAACTGATTTTGGGAACAAATTTGTGCCCATGAACAAAAAATTTACCAAACCAATTTATGTTCCTTTTTTTCTTCTAGGAAACAAAAGAATAGAATCAGGTACTGTTTGGTCAGTTTCCAAACAGGCTCTTACGTAACCAAGAAGCCATACTATATACCAATAAAGAGATAGCAGGTTGCGGAAGAAAACAGACTTTTCGTTTCAAATGTTTTCCAAAAGAGGCTCGCATGCACGGTTCCTTACTGAAAGAGATGAAACCCGAAATTCGGGAAACGTATACCGAATATGAAATTGTTCATACTTGATGGCGTAGGAAAGCCGATTTTGTGCTAATCTTGTGTTAATGCAATCTTGGCAAAAAACACAGAAAGTTTTGGCAAAAGGATATACTTTCACGAAAAGAAGATGGTAACGTCAATCCAACTGTTTGTGCTAAATCTGTGTTTTATGCCAATAAGGTCGTGGCAAAATTGGAATTTGAGATTGCGGACGTGTCCAAATTAAAGGCGGGCGGAAAGAAAGGTGACAATTTCAGCGGAAGAAAACAAGGTAACTTTAGGTTGTCTGGTTGTCTTGGATTTTGTCCTCACCTAGACGTCCGAGAATAAGGGCATGTGAGTTGTAGATTCAACAGGTGACGTGTTGAGCAGTGTTTTTTGACGTCATCGATGGCTTGATGAAGAAAACGGTCGAAGGGGCTAGGGCCACTTTGGAAAATGAAAGTGACCCACGAGAGCATGTGTATCATTCTTCGTTTCGTGGTAATTTTACTAGTAGAGTCTAGAATGGTTTTTGTGTGTCAGAATGTGGATGAAATCGGACGAGACATGTCGATGCTTCAATGGCCTTATGGCATCTTAAGTTCATGCATCGTGCGCAATTTTTTGTGACCTTCAAACGATTGGATCGCCTAGCCACATTTTTTTTCTTACAAAGAATTTCACTTTTAGCGAAAATATGGGTGATGATAACCTTTTATTAAGTTCACGACAGTCGAGTTTATATAGTGATTAGTATAATTTTGATGGAAGGCTAATATAACGATGAGTAGTTCTAAAATCACTTGCCACTTTTTTTAACGTTACAGTACTAGTACGGTGATGACTTAAAAATAATTTTATGTCTCCAAGCTAGGATAAGATTTGGAGCATCATAACTTATATTGCAGCTTGTATTGTCTTAAGGACACAGAAAGAGTATTTTTTTTTTGTTAATTTTACTAGTTTCTGAGATTAACGTTTAGTTGTTTAAAACTAGAATGGAACGGTTATTTCAATTTTATCAAGTCCTTTTTTTTTTTACAATGTAACATACTTAAAGATACGTGGGAACAAAACACCTAATGTGGGTACTGACTAATCTCAGGATTGCGTTGGGTTACAAGCTACATTAAAGGGAGGGAGAACTCCAATGTGGGAGCTACGTATTCTCACCCGCGTAAAATTTGGTGAAACTTTTTATTATTGAATAGTGAAATGGAGGGCTGGCGAGAGACTCGCTCGCACTTTTTCACAAAGAAAATTCATCATTTGCGACTTAAAAGAAAGGGAAAAAAATGACATATGATGAGCAAATGACTAATTGGAAGAAAAGTTAAGATAGATTCATGGTGCTCTTATAATATACAAATTAGTACTCCGTTTATTTTGCAAAAAATGAATGATATAAAAAATATTTTCATAAAAGTGATTGTCTATATTTCTTACAAAATTTCAAATGAACGGAATTCTTTTTCATCGCACATAATAAGTTGTCATCAACAATTATAACATTTTTCATTATTTCATTATTTCAAGCAATATGATCGATCATTTCTAAGAAAGCATTTTTCAGATCATTTAAGTCTTCACGAATCAAATCGGAAAAAAATCAACTTTATTTCTTTTGTTGCTAGCCACGTTAAGATGAACTTAAATAGCATTACGGTGGCGGCGGTCCATGTCATTTCGATAAGTGCTAGGCTGTAATCACCCCCATTTGGGGCCGTGCCAATTAATGACCCGTCATTATCCCTGCGGATGACGTCAGCATCCCAACAGCGACGACAAGATAATTTCTTAAACAAATTAAAAAATACCTCGTTCCGTTCCTTACCCACTTCGCCCCACACGTAATCATCTTTCCGTTCAAAATCATTGAGTCCCCCCCCCCGCCCCGGTCAATCAATCACCAATTTTAAAAATGAAATAAAAGATTAGCACGGAACCTTAATCAAAGCGACGCATAAATGCGAGATTCATTAAGACCAAAACAGACGGTCGAAATCCAGGACGAGGGACATACGCGACACGTGTGCCGTCCCCCCACGCACGGTGTGTGTGTGTGTGTGTGTTTTTTTTTCCGGGATTTCTTGTGCGCACAGGGAAAAATGAGTTGGCGCGAGAAATTCGGGGGGGACACCTGGGATTTGCTTAGCGAGAGCGAGATGCGTGCGCCCCGTTTTTGGTCAAGCTTGCCAGCTCACCACCCCATTTAAAACCCCCCCGGTTTAAAATATTGCCTAATCTTTGACCCAATAAAAATATATATATATATATATTGCCTAATCATGCAGCCCCGGTAGGACCCGCCCCCACCCCCATCATTGGATTTCAATAATTTCGACCGCGAATGATTAGTCGGACGACCACCCAACCCCTCCCCCCGAAGATATTTTTGTTCTTTGTTCTGGGGCCAGTTGGTTCCGGAGATTTCAACGGCCGTGATCGTTGTCAAGCCCCCAGTCAAATGTCGCGTGCCACTTGGCTACTTCCCTTTCGTTCTTTTCCCTTTGGGGGGGGATGCTTAGCTTGCGGAGATAGGGGTGAACAACCGAGCAGGCTCGACTCGAGAACCGGGCCCGGTTTAAGTTTCCGATTTCTTTTTTTTTTACTTAAATTGGCAGATCCTATTCGGAAACTTGGAACCGGACCGCGTTTATGCCCATTTACGCAACGGAATGGAAAAGAGAAAAGGGTCCTGATCGGTTTTCGGGTGGACCCTGAAACCGGTTCCAGGGTCGGTTCCCAATCCGATACCGATAGGATAAAATTTCAGTCGCCCATCTTGAAGCCAGTAACCTTTGCTGCTTTCAATGTGCATGGAGAGTACGGTATAAGGAATTACCTACCGGGACAACAACTACGAAGATGGGCCAAAGCCGCGGAATATTCTAAACTATGCTCGCTGTGAAACCATACCCCCTAAAATCTAAACTTTATCTTGTGCACAAAAAATCTCAAATTTATACATGCGTGACAATTTACCCTCCGTCGAGATTCTATTAATAACGACCGTTAAAAATCCGCATACATGAATGCCGGGAAGCAAACAGTGTTCACACGGTGTCAATGTGACTCGAGTGAAATAAAAACGATATTATCTCCATAAAAAAAAGGCATCTAACAGAAATTTGATCGATAATATACGTGTTATATAGATATAAATTTGAGATTTTTTACACTGTAAGAAAAAGTTTATGATACCTATGTCATTGGGCATCATTTAGATTTTTTCATGCCTAAAAAAAATTTAAGGTAAACGTGACGTAACAAGCATGATTAGAAAGTTTCGGTGGCTTTTCCCCTAAGAAAAATTTTTTAACCAAGACCGGTCAAATATCACCGGTGGGATTACCTTGATCTCAGCTGGCTCTGACGGGGAAAAGCACGAGAAAGCACAGACTCTGTCAGGGATGCACGACAAAATCGCCGCTAAGCGTCAAACCCTACATACGTGGACACAGATCAGAGCCTCCCCACCACATTAATTCCCCACGATAATATAATCCCACGACAGTCAGTGCGGCCGCCCCCACGAATTTCACCATCCAGTACGAACGCAATCCCCCAGCTCCCGACCGACACGTGCCCAGACAAAGGAGACGAGATCTCGCTTTCCCCCCCAAGAGAAATCACGTACCCCCTACACGTGTCGGTCCCTCAGGCCCCCCCGGGGGCTCACGGGAAGCACCGTGCACCCTCGCGTGACGCGATCGGGATCACCACTTTTCCTTTTCTCGTTTTTCTCATGGGGGTGTCGTATCTCGCGGGAAGCGAGCGCGCGGATTGGTACGACGTGGATCCGACGTGGCGACGCGATCCGCCGTCAAGGGCGGACATGTTCCTCTCGGCCGTTGGATAACGTTGGGCCGCGTCGACGAGGCTGGAGACAATGCAACAACGGCAAGTTAACATCTACGAGAGATAGAGAGAGAGGAGAAAGCAACAATGGCGTCGACGCCATTGGAATACAGTCCAAGGTTCTCGAGTATAAATACCGGGCGCATCCTCCGCTCCTTCTCATCACTGTCTTCCCCGTTCGCGTGCTCCTCTTCTCTTCTCGCCGCCTCGAACGCGTTCGCCATTCGCTCCACGCATTCTGGTACTTTCTGATCTTTCCTTCCTCCCTCCCTCCTTCCTCTTTCCCGGTCTCGCGACTCGCGGAGGAGGAGGAAAATCAGAGAGACGATTTGTTCATCTGGGTCGTCGTCTAACGAGTGCTTTGTTTGGTGGGTTCATGTTCCGGAACTTGCAGACACCATCGATCGAAGCGGGCATTGCGCGTCTCGGCTTTTCAGGTACCGTCATTTTCGTTTCGGATCTGGGGAGGAAGTATTTTGTTTGCAGAAGGGGGTCGTCGTGCTAACGCGGCGGATTCGCGTCGGTTGCAGAGGACCGAGCCAGATCGGCGGTTGGATAAGCTAGGCAAGGGAGAGATGACGATCAAGCCGGCGGTTCGGATTTCGGACCGGAAGCTGATCGTGAAGGACCGGACCATCCTGACGGGGGTGCCGGACAACGTCGTCGCCGCGTCCGGCCCGGTCGAGGAGGGGGTCTTCCTCGGGGCGGTCTTCGACAGGGACGACAGCCGCCACGTGGTGCCGGTGGGGATCCTCCGCGACGTCCGGTTCATGGCCTGCTTCCGGTTCAAGCTCTGGTGGATGGCCCAGAAGACGGGGGACCGAGGGAGCGAGATCCCGCTGGAGACCCAGTTCCTGCTGGTCGAGACCAAGGACGGGTCGCACCTCGAGTCCGATGACGGGGACGAGGAGAACCAGATCGTGTACACCGTCTTCCTCCCTCTGATCGAAGGACCGTTCAGGGCGTGCCTGCAGGTATAGGACTGTCAAATTCGTGTTCAGTTGAATTTGCTGACAAAGTTTATGTTTTTTTCTTCGAATTCGTGTCTGTCAATTAGAGTTGTGGATATCTAATTGGTCTTGTACCTGCAGGGGAATGAGCGTGACGAGCTCGAGCTCTGCCTCGAGAGCGGCGATGTTGAGACGAAAGCCTCGTCCTTTAACCGCTCGGTGTTTGTCCACTCCGGCACGGACCCGTTCGCCACCATCTTCGAGGCGATCAGGGCCGTCAAACTGCACCTGAAGACTTTCCGGCAGCGGCACGAGAAGAAGCTGCCCGGGATCGTCGACTATTTCGGCTGGTGCACGTGGGATGCGTTCTACCAGGATGTGACGCAAGAGGGCGTCGAAGCCGGCCTCGAGTCTCTCGCGGCCGGCGGGACCCCGCCGAAGTTCGTGATCATCGACGATGGGTGGCAGTCAGTTGGGAGCGATCCCGTGGCCGAGGAGAGCTCTGAGGGCGAGAAGAAGCAGCAGTTGCTCAGGTGCGTGTTTGGAACGATTTAAAGTTCTAAAGCTTTCTTGTTTCGATCAGAAATGAGGTTATGATTCTTATCTGATATCGATTTTTTAGATTGACCGGAATTAAGGAGAACGCCAAGTTCCAGAAGAAGGATGACCCAACGGTGGGGATCAAGAACATCGTCAACACAGCAAAGAACAATCACGGGCTCAAGTATGTGTATGTGTGGCACGCGATCACGGGATATTGGGGAGGGGTCCGACCGGGAGTGAAGGAGATGGAGGAATATGGGTCCTTGATGAAGTACCCATCCTTGTCGAAAGGGGTGATCGAGAACGAGCCGACATGGAAGAATGATGCGATTGCGCTCCAGGGGTTGGGGCTTGTGAACCCAAAGAACGTGTACAAGTTCTACAATGAGTTGCACAGTTACCTGGCGAGCGCGGGCATAGATGGGGTTAAGGTGGATGTGCAGTGTATACTCGAGACGCTTGGAGCCGGGTTGGGCGGTCGGGTCGAGTTGACACGGCAGTACCAGCAGGCGCTCGATGCATCGGTGGCCAGGAACTTCCCGGATAATGGTTGCATTGCTTGCATGAGCCACAACACCGATGCCCTGTACTGGTAAGTGTGGCCTCTTAGTTTCTGGTAGTTTTGGTACATTTTTCTTCAATGCATAGACCTGAAATCTCAGTTTGATGACGCCTTGTGTTTCTTACATACTCTGACTAAGTTACTTTGTCCGAATGATTTTACGAAAAAACAGCTCGAAGCAAACTGCTGTTGTGCGCGCATCGGATGATTTCTACCCGAGAGATCCTGTCTCGCACACCATCCACATAGCGGCGGTCGCGTACAACAGCGTCTTCCTGGGAGAGTTCATGCAAACTGATTGGGACATGTTCCACTCTGTCCATCCTGCTGCCGAGTACCATGCTTCGGCCAGGGCAATCAGCGGCGGTCCCATCTATGTCAGGTAAGGAATCGCGACCCTTCATTTTGAGAGAGTTTTCAGTATCTAATGTTGTATCAAGTGATGTACTGGCGAAGTTCATTCTTCTTAGTTAATTATACTGCAAGTACATCGGACTCAATCCTCGTTTGCTAATACTAACCTGGATGTTCCGTTTTGTGCAGTGATGCACCTGGGAAGCACAATTTTGAGCTCCTTAAGAAGCTTGTTCTGCCTGACGGGTCGGTGCTCCGAGCCCGCTTGCCTGGTCGGCCCACCCGCGATTGCTTATTATCTGACCCAGCCCGGGATGGCGTTAGGTATGGATTTCGCTTGCTCTCTTTTCAACTGTCAATTGTTGGTATTCCAATTCATCTAATTCTCATGGAAAATAGATGATTTAAACTCTAGGAGTTACAGTTTTGGGACACCTAGATGATAGTTGAGGTACATGTGCATCTATGAACTTCTAATAGCTAGAAGACGGAAATGTCTGGACTCAACCTGTAACTTATATTAGGATTTGGCAGTAGATAGTTCAATCACAAGAAAATCCCATCAGAGAAGCCGAAGCTCTGTCCTGAATCTATCTGAAATGGATTTAAATCGTATTCAGATAATTGAGGTCTTACAATGTATCGTCTTTCTGATGTCAGTTTAGCCCGGTCATTTGAAACAAGTGTAGAACAATATAGCTAATCCGTTCCTTAACCTATTCCTTGGTAGAACAATAATGTCTCTCAATCTCCCAATTGCATTTACCGACCAGTTCTTCTACTTTCATTCAGCTTGTTGAAGATATGGAACATGAACAAGTACACGGGAGTCCTTGGCGTCTACAACTGCCAAGGAGCAGCCTGGAACAGCATGGAGAGAAAGAACACTTTCCACCAAACCAAGGCCGAGGCCATCACCGGATACATCCGTGGCCGTGATGTCCACCTCATCAGTGAAGCCGCCACGGACCCCACCTGGTCCGGCGACTGCGCCATCTACTGCCACAAGAGCGGAGACCTCATCATCCTACCTTACAATACCGCGATGCCCGTGTCGCTCAAAGTCCTCGAGCACGACATAATAACTTTCACACCAATCAAGGTCTTGGCACCTGGATTCAGCTTTGCTCCGCTGGGGCTCATCAACATGTTCAATGCTGGCGGAGCAATTGAAGGGCTGAGATACGAGGTCAAGGGTGGGGCTGAGTTGTCGGAGCTCGAGACCGAGTATGCAGGAGAAGGGAATGTCATGGCCGAGCAAAGACTGGAGAATCGCAGCAATGAATTGGTGGGGATTGTTCATATGGAGGTCAAGGGATGCGGCAAGTTCGGTGCATACTCGTCCACTGGACCGAAGAGTTGCAAATTGGGCATGAGCGAGGTCGAGTTCAAATACGATGCGGCATCCGGATTGTTGAGCTTTGACTTGGATCATTTGCCTGAGGAGGCGCAGAGAGTTCATGCCATTGAAGTTCAATTATGAATAGATGATGAGAATGTGGAACTAGAGGCACAATTATATGCATTTCAGGGGTCGAGATTGTGATTTGTAAGGAAGTGGATCCTGCATTGCACCATCACAATGTTTTTGTACTAGTTCAGGAGGGTTCATGAGCTCATCATGGAGAGCTTGATTAAATAATTAAGAATAAGATTAGTTTGCTTCGTCATCTTTGTATGAACCCTGTGCTCAGTGTAACCTATCATGGGATTATTGGAGATGCATCGTCAGTCTTTGTTCTCCTTCAGAATTCCTCCTCTGCTTCTTGGTCCTCTTTCAATGTTTTCCTTGGATGCAATTGTGGCTTGTTGGTGGTGATAACGTGAGAAACAATCAGGAAAAAGACAATGCGAATAATTTTGATTTCTGCTCTCGAGTACCAAAGAAGTTTCTGCTTTACAATCACAAAAAAGCATAGTAAAAACTAGGCGAAATTGTGGGTTCTGGACCAGATCTGTGAATGTCGCCGCTAACCGAAGTGATCGGGCTCGGCTGAGACGAATGGCGACGTATGGGAATGAGAGAAATGAGAAGAGGCACGTGAATGGTGCAGAAAAAGTTCGGGTCATCTTGCAGATTTGAGCAAACTCTATTCGTTAGGTGGTTCTCATTTGAGCTGGTAATGCTCGACTTGAGAAGCAAACTGTGACAAACTTAGGGTATTTACACTTTCGGATTTTAAGTCTTTTTGTCTGAGAATTGGACATTCAAATTCAAAGAAAAGCACTTGCAAACACGAAGTGATGTTCTAAGGGAAATGAAAAATATTTCGCGCGTCCGTTTGTTTGGTGGAAAATTTACAATTACGTAACATTTCCTCATTTACACCCGTGTGAGGTGTAAAGCCGAGTAGACACGAGTTTATAAATGGAGAGCGGCCTCTGTGATCGACCAACCTTTTGTAATCTATGGATTGGAATAGTCGATTTAGGAAAAACTGGCAAGCAGATCCGGCGAGTGGAGTAGGTGCGGGCCGAACCACTATAGATCGACTTGAGCCAGCTTTCTCTATCTCCATTCCATTTCATTTTTGTACGGTCATTTTATTTTTGCTTGCTTGTGCAATCTGTTCAATATTTTGCATTTGCTCGAATGAATTTATTTTGATTAATTTTGTCATAGTATTTTTTGACCAACATCTTGAATGCTAGATCACAGTGAGAGATATAAACTCCATTGCCGTGTCTATTAGTGTACATTTTATAGAGAAATGGCTCTTCTTACTAGATTGATCCAATTTCAAAAAAGTATTTTTCAAGGCCGCCGTATTTTCCAAATAACATTAGCTTTTTTGTTGTAATTATAATAGATAATCTATCCTATAAATAACATTGTATTTTATAGAACATAATTGAAAAACAGTTCATCAACAATCACCAAAACATTAATGTATTCATTACAATGTCTGTAACTTACTTGTTCAACAACTTGGTTGAAGAAAAAAATTTCAATTGAACTGCCAAAAGTTTCCTTTGGAGTGATCAATGAAAAACCAGAGGATTTTCACTCTCAATCACCTGCTCAAAATCCTGAGAATCGTTTCAAGGCCCACTCGCTCTGTGTTGAGAGTTTTGACTGGGTACCAAAGGCCCAAAGTAAGGCCTCTGTCAAGCTGAAAGCTTGGTTGGTCTTCTTGAACAGATCCTGTAAATTTTGACAGAATGAAGAACTGAGTTTCCTGAAACGATGGAAGCAATGCTGATGTAAAACGAATGTTTGAATCTTTCAGGCATCTCATTCTTTATACGGGCGACGTCCGTAACTTGCAATTCACCACTCCGAAAGCATGGTGGGAGGGAATTTCGTTTGACCATGGATGGAACGAAATACTGCCCTTTTTTATTAGAAAACATGGCTGCAGCATCGTTTCGCTAGTATGCGATATTCATGCCTTTAACTCAGTTAATGTCTATCGACGCAGACAGAAGCGTGCCGTCCACGTGCATCCACCCGGTAATTGCTCAACCCACAGGGGCAGCTAGCACCAAGATCATTCTAAGCAAGAGACATTATGGTGCATGTATGTATACAATCTGTCGCATCCGAATCAAGTACTTAACAACTAATCCGCATTTTTGGCGACTGAATCGTGTTTTGTAAGGACATGATCTCCATTATGATCTCCATTATATGCATGCACAAGGACAATGAACACTGACATGTCCCACTAAGTATACCCTGTGAATAGGCCAAGAAGAGGATAATGAAAGCTGAGGGTATGCTCTGTAATGCATGTCCTCAACATTAGACAATCTCTGATCCCTGCATTATTAGCTCTATAAACTCGCATGTGGCTTGCAGTTCATGCGACAACAAAGAGAAACAGATCCACTAACTCCCGTTCATTCATGTATTATACAAACCTCCACTTCAATTATATGCTCAAAAGCTGAGAGGCTTCTGTTCAGTGCAGTTTTAAAAACATCTGTGTGCATATAGACAAGTTGTATCCAGATAAGTTCGACTGGTGGGTTAAATGACACCGAAACATCCGCGTTTCGATCGCATATAGAGATAGTAAAATCAAATTTGGTTGAGTATAATTCATTTATTCAATTGTTCTTTTATAATCTATAGACGGTCACATCACTCACTTAGTCATTATATCAATTTTATAAATAAATTTTAATATACCTAACGTTACCCTTTCCCATGGCTCTGCCAAAGAGGTTGCTCGACTTCAAGCATAGAATATATTAAAATTCTCGAGATACAAAGTCTCAGTTGTCGTCTCCGCTAGACCGGTCCGTCGCGTTGAAGTAGATATGTTAATATATACTCTTTTCTACTGCGATTAGATGGTCGAGGGCAAGTTTTCGCACATCAAACTAACCTTCTATTGGGACCAATGCACCTTCCACGCCTAGGTGAACTATGAGGCTAACTATCAACCAAGCCAAGCACCACTTACAGGGACAACACCAACGAAGAATTTAAAGAAAGCAACGACACTAAGATTGATGTAAGTAAATCTTTTCAATGTGAAAGAAAGAACATCACGAGGCGACAGAAGTGACAAATCAACATTATTGAAGAGCATAAGCAGCGTAACCACACCAAGGAAATACAAACATACGAGCTGTAAGACCATAAGTTCCAAATTACAAAGTGTGTATAGAATCTCTCTTCAAGAGAAAACAAAGATTGTCACTGTTTTTTGGAAGAACAACTGTAGAAACTCATGCTCGTGTCTAATATCAGTTTGCACACACTCTTCCCTTCTCACATGATTAAAAGAACATGACCTGAGCTGGCACGTTAGGTGAAAGATATCTGCCAAGATAGGTCCAAATGGAGAAAAAAGATGCTTGCTTCCAATGCAGTACCGATTGAAGTGGTCCGATTGAAGATAAGTTATTAACTTTGTCAGAAAGTTCAAATGATGCATGAAATTTAAAGAACATGGTGCCACAGGCTCGAAATAAATTGGGATAGAACCCGACTCCAATACCATGTCAGAAAGTCAAACATAAAAGTTTAAACTAATAGGTAGAAGAAGACCACACATATATAAGAGCACATAGATCTCGTAAGCAAGCGATGTGAGGTATTTCAACACATCATATGAAAATTCGTGGGAAATCGGACAAGAACCGTGATGGCTATTGACTAGAGAAAAAAGAGAGAAGTCACCTTTTACTCGAGATTTCTCAGTAGAATTACCATGGTGAACTGGAGAAGGAGAAAGACAAAGTCGGGGGTTAAATCAAAGAAGACACACCTGTTGCCGATGGTGTCAGGCATGTGTGCGCCTTCAATTCGGGAAGATGGGGACAAATGATAAAGTGCGTTTCCACGAACTTGTCCTCCAGACATTTGTTTGCTGGTTGGGTATGGGGATTAGGTTGGACCAGGAGATCCCCAACTAATGTCTCAATTTATAATTCTATTAGTACCCCCAACAATATTCGTTTAAAAAGCCACTCGAAAGAAAAGGTCGACTACCCACTTCTTAGGAGTCACCAAAAAAACTTTAAAAAATTAGTACTTTTTCTTAAAAGTGGTACTGATCGACTTTCACAATACGATAAAATCGAATTAGTAAGAAGTTCAACGCATCAAAATAGGTAAAGACTCTGTCTTTAGGCATCATCCCAGATCAAATTACACTCATAATTCTAAGTTTACAAAATGGTGTTGGAAAATCTAAGGGTGAAATAGGATAAACATTTCGAGATTCCAACATAAAATGTCGATTAGGAGAAAGTTTGATAAACCCGATATGATTTATCTAACGTATTAAAAGAATAGCATATGGTCATGAAATTTCGATCTTGAATTTTTGCAATCACTCATGCGAAGAACCATACTTTAAACGAACCACAATAGTCCTATTGAGCAATTCGGGGTAATGCCTCCCATCTTCGCATTTCTCTCCATTTCAATCGTGGAGTCCACCCCACATAAATCTCATTTAGCATGCACGAGGTTGATGTATCGAGTGAAATACCTCGCAATGCCATCGTGAGAGAGATACGTTCGATGAACACACTGATGGTGTTGCGGTGACGGATTCATTCGTCCCAAGCCTATGCCCAACCTTTCTTAGCTTTAGATTCTGAGCAGTAACTATAGCCCAAAACCGAATGTTCCGCACTGATATTTATCTCCCTTTTTGCCACTAAAACTCGAGCCAGCAGTTCCATAGCATAGATTTAGGATTTTCTTGGACGACCAAAGTTAACACATAATCGCGGATATATGTTTATCTCACTATCGTCAATCCAATCTCCACAGTGGGGTTTTCCACCTCACAAGATGTAGAAATTCTTGTACTTTATTGGTTCGTTCCAACACATACCCCGACGTCATCTGGCATCAGAGCTATCTCCCGACAACATTTGATATTAGAGCTAAGGTTTCGAAATGTCCCCGAGTCGAACAAATAGTGCCGAAAATGTTAGAGATTAACGTGTTATCAAGATAGAGGAAACGCATCGACGAATTCAAAAACTCCAAAGGCGGATTCGGAAACTTGGACGACGTGAAAGCCAGAGCCAAAGTCAATGTCGTCCAAATGAAGATAAAGATTCTCCAAATACAGAAGATCGTTTACCTTCCGAGATGGTAGAAGACACCTATCTTTCCAAAGAAATGGAATTTGAAAAGTTTGAAGAGATCAACAACCATTATAATGAAGGTTTGGAAGAGGAAGCAGCAACGATCACGTGGGATGATGAGGAAATCCGTGCATGCAGTCATTTTGGGATCACTACGGTGACAAAGACGAAGCGGTGGTAACTCCAAGAG